ACATACACCGTATTTGACCCAATAAGTATCCCAGGTGCATCAATAGGTTGCACAGCAATGCAAGGGGAATGTTATGAAGATACCAATGTCACCATGGGGTTCTTAGTAGATACAATTGCATGTTTAGTTTGTAAATGGTCATTCTAAAAGATTTACCACAGTACAGTATTCAATTTTATCATCCAAAACTGGCTCCCACAGGAGATATGCTTGAATGAGATCAAGCAATATCTACACTGTAGATATCGCTGCAATGAAATTACATCACAATGCTTTGCAGACCATTGTGACGTCACTGGTTACCATGACGTCACAATCAAATTACATCACTAATGGCTCTGCTACTGAAGCTGTTTGCAGTACTTTTTACACTGAAGAGAAAATGCTAATTACTATCTACAAATTGAAAAAGTTGAAAGAATGATGTTTGATGATAAATAAAATCTCACCCTCGTGTCTTTTGATATCAAATATATCGACACTCGTTGATAAAAGTGGCAAAAATCCACGGCAAGCTTCATAATTTTTCCACTTTTATCAACTCGTGTTGATATATTTGATATCAAAAGACACTTGGGTGAGATTCTCTATATCCTAGTTGATGTGAAGTTAATAAATACAGTATGTTGAAATATCCTTCTGAGAACCTTGACAGTCAGCACAGTGACTGGCACCAAATATAGGTTTTCAAACATTACCTATGGCCAACCACACTTGGAAGGAGGAAGAAGGCACTCAAAGGCTAGTATATAAGTAATGGGGGAACATTAATAAGAAGTGGGTCACTTATTGGGTCGCTTACAGTACAAATATAAGAGCTTTAGATGGGCGGATGCTAAATATACACAGTGCTGAGCATCAGAATACATCTATTGCTATGATTACTCCCATAATCACTCGTCAGGAACATTTGATCTGCAATGAATGATACCTTTCCTTTTTCTGTGTTCAGCATATGCTCATGTCTGTTGAGGTGATGATAGAGGTAGTAAGCAAAGTATCAAAGTATTAGAAACATCCTGTGCTATTTCTGCATATATGTCCATCTAGTTTTGGGTAATGTAAATATTTGTGTTTAGAAACCTTCATCTGGTACGTAAGACAAAAAAGATGTTTTTGTCTGGTGTACATCTTCGAATGTATTTTAATCAGGAAATGGAATAACAGAAACAACCTGTGTATGCGTACTGAACAAGCACCTGTTGACTGGCACCAAAGGTCCATGAATGTACTTATTGATTATGAGGTATGATCCTACACTGGGATATCAACAAACATCTAAAGAAAATCTGTCCCGGAATGTACAAGGAGAGTATGAGTTGCCAATCAATGCCATGTTTAATATGACAGGCTTGAGTTGGGCCATAACACTTTGATCATGACTGCCTTGATACACATATAACATATTAATGTATAAAAAAATTGCACTTTATATAATGACTGATCTTTGTCATTTGACAAAATTCCTACAACTGGAGACTAAATTTAAAGATTATCAGTTACAAACTTTAAAGGAAAGTAGATGTGTTGCATATCAAGAAAGGACTCATATGTTTACCAGCATCATGGTGCATACATGAATATTCCAAAAACTGTTCCTTCTATCCTGACCATGATGTGTTTAAAATGATTGACACCCACTATACATGCCATAATAATGCACTTATTTCACTACCCTACAATGTTCAAAAGAGTTTTCACAAGAAATGTAATATTCACTAAAGATCACCACAAAGATACTGCCAAACTCAATTTCAAGAAACAGACAACATAAGTCACTGATCAGTATTATTACGAGATTCTGACACACATTTGCAGAGATCAGTACTTAAAATGAACATCAAATGTATCAGTAAAGACACCAAGCATTATGGTTCCAACACATTAAGTTGGGTTAAATGGTAATTTTAGAATACGGCCTCCTAAAGTAATTTGATATTGACAGCTTTACATCAAACATTTACCACATCAATGCAATATTTTGTATTGAATGTTGGCATGTCCCTACAGATTATTTAAAAACGGTCTGTGATATTGTCCATGCACAGTACTGCAGTCAGCTATATTCAAGCTAAATGAAGGTGGCCTCCAAATAATCGTACCAAGGGTAGGCAAACCGGGGGTTGAACCTGGGTAAGGCAAACCGGGGGTTGAACCTGGGGTAGACAAACCAAGGGTTGAACCTGGGGTAAGCAAACCAGGGGTTGAACCTGGGGTAGGCAAACCGGTGGTTGAACCTGGGGTAGGCAAACTGGTGGTTGAACCTGGGGTAGGCAAACCAGGGGTTGAACCTGGGGTAGGCAAACCAGGGGTTGAACCTGGGGTAGGCAAACCGGTGGTTGAACCTGGGTAAGGCAAACCGGTGGTTGAACCTGGGGTAGGCAAACCGGTGGTTGAACCTGGGTAAGGCAAACCGGTGGTTGAACCTGGGTAAGGCAAACCGATGATGGAACCTGGGTAAGGCAAACCAGGGGTTGAACCTGGGGTAGGCAAACCGGTGGTTGAACCTGGGTAAGGCAAACCGATGATGGAACCTGGGTAAGGCAAACCAGGGGTTGAACCTGGGTAAGGCAAACCGGTGGTTGAACCTGGGTAAGGCAAACCGGTGGTTGAACCTGTGATAGGCAAACCGGCGGTTGAACCTGTGATAGGCAAACCAGGGGTTGAACCTGGGGTAGGCAAACCGGTGGTTGAACCTGGGGTAGACAAACCAGTGGTTGCTGGATGAACAATGTATGATCCAGGCTATTTAGGCATGACACAATCAACCAAGCCACTGATTACAACCAACTGATTCTGATGTGTCTGGGCACTTATCCTGTCCTGGAATGCCAACACAATAATCTGAAAAACATGAACAAACAAGGTAAAGAGTGAGTAGGGCTCACTATAAATACCCTTTGCCTTTGACTCCAACATATTTCTAAGTTCAAAACATGAAAAATGCAATATTATTTCAGAAAATACACATATCAAAATCAAACTCTGCATTTAACCTCTCCTATTTGTATAGAAAGTGTTCCTGTAATTTGAAAAGAATCCATGTGAAGTACAGTCAAGTCTCGTTTATCCGACACTCGTTAATCCGACAATCGGCTTTATCCGACACAAATGATGGTAACCGATTAAATCAATGCTGTTTAGACCCGTTAATCTGACAGTCTCGCACTCTGACTCCGACACACCTAATTAGCAACGATTTGCTGAAATCACTCATTAATCAGTCTCGTTAATCCGACACGGTGATCAGTGTACTCATTGGTCATCTGCCCGCGAGTACATAGCCCCGTGTTTTGATGCGAGACAAGTCGGCGAGTAGCTGCATATTTAAACGGCTGCAGAGATAAACTTTGTGCTTTGTGTTAAACTTTAGAGGTTGCATGATTAGAAAACATATTCCGCGAACAATGTAACACAATAATATGAATATTTCCTATTTCCTTTTTTTATTACAACATGTTTGAATCGTTATCTATCGTGTAGTTGTCCAATTTTCGATCACGAACGTTGATAATACTTAATTTCGTTTATCCGACATACTCGTTAATCCGACATAATCATATGCAACCAACAATGTCGGATTAATGGGACTTGACTGTAGTTCTCAAGTTATAGGTCATACAAATGTTGAAGTAAACAAGGCAAAAAGTGAGCAGGGCTCACTAATACCCCCGACTTCGACTCCAACATACTTCTTAGTTCAAAACATGAAAAAAGCAATATTTTCATAATAATGAAACTTTAAGCTGCATCTCTCCTATTGGTATAGAAAGTGTTCCTTAAATTTGAAAAGAATCCATGAAGTAGTTCTCAAGTTATAAGTTGCACAAACGTTACAGTAAAAAACCAAGTCCAAAACATGGAAAAATTCACTTTTTCTCAGAAAATCCAAATATTGAAATCACACTTAGCACTGCAAAAGTATAAAAAGTCTCCTATTGGTATAGAAAGGGTTCACCAAGTTTGAAAAGAATCTACGAAGTAGTTTTCAAGTTGTAGGTCGCACACAAATATGTCCTCTGAAGGACTGACAGAATTCCTTGGTACAACTATATACCCCTACCCTGTTAGGTCAGGGGTATAATAAACATTGCATACTACTCAAAACAAAATTAAAAACCACCCGATTCATTCATATTACTATAATTACTCTGTCTTGGCACTACAGATTAACTACAGTAATATGAAAAAATTGGGTAGTCCTTAACTTTTTGTGGAGCAGTATATGTGAGAATCTGGAGATGAATAAATGGACTATAACACAATATATAACTATGTGATAGCACATACATCATGCAAGCACTTCACTGACCAGCCTTACAAGGTAACAGTTGGTACTTATATTCAATGCAGAAGCAGACAAACATTGTATGATGTTTTGCAGAAGCTAGCGGTTTCACAGATGATAAATGGAAAAGGTGTTTAACCAATGTCAACATAATGAGGTGAGGTGAAATGGGGTTTAACGTCGCGTCCAAGATTATTGCACTTATATAGCGACGTGCATGCACGTGTATGTATGTGTGTGTGGCTGCTTGTACTAGTCCGGATTGATGCCAATTTATAGTGCTAGCTCACTGAGATACCATGCCGCAGTTTAGCATGAATACCCCACTCAGACACAGTATACTGACTCCGAGCCAACCAGTCCTTGTTTTAGCCCCTTAATGCCGAGCGCCAGACAGGGTAATAACAAGTACCATCTTTTAACGTCTTTTGGTATGACGCGGTCGGGGATCGAGCCCCGGACCTTCCGCTCTCTGGGCGGACGCTCTACCACTAGACCACAGAGGCGGTCCTCAACATAATGATAGCTCTTAATTAATGAGTTGTATAACAAGAAAACACTGAATGTCACATCTGACCAATTATCTTGTGTAACTGACTGCGGGTTAACGTTGTTGCACTATGATGCCATGCAGTGATCTACAAGCTGGCCGCTATATACACATAAACTGTGATAAAGGTTGATGTGCTAACAGATTTGCTCTATAACAAACCTTCCCATTTTGTCATTCTTGTTCCTGATGCAAGACCTGTAACCATAGCAACTGGCATAAACAAGCACTGTCTACATTATTCACACAGTATCAGGACCACATCAATTATGGAATAAATCTGTTTTATTCATGCTGTTAGAATCTTAGGTCCCCTTTTCAACATCATGTATTGACTACGGATATAATACCAACACTTCTCTGACGCATCTCAGTTTACTGTATCTGTAATACAGATGGCACATAAGAGCACAAGAAATTCTTTATTTCAAGCCAGAGTTATTATTCGGAAGTTGACAAATCCATAGAAACATATATGCATGTACTTGATTCAATATTGTTAATTCCATCGGTTTTCAGGAATAAGTATTGCTATAGGAATAGAACTTACTAAATCATCAGGTCTTTGAAAGGCATTTAGAATTGATACACATAAGGAAGAGAATATATGGATGTCAGCTTCTTTATTATGAGGAATACAACGTTTCGGGTGTTTCGTATCAGGTATATAGGAGTAAGCATATACTCCGAAACTTTGTATTCCTCATAATATAGAAGTTCACATCCATATGTTCTCTTCCTTACTAAACCTTGTCTCTTCTTTTCAGAAAGAGCTCAAGTTTCCTCTGCAAGTTACATTGTTTTCATTTTTCTTAACCTGACATGTATCAAATAATATTATCTAAACCTAATTATACACCTGATATGTACAAAACTTATTCATGAATATGAATAAGTTTGTTGATAGCAGTGCAAGGCTGATTCTCATGATCAAAAGAGTGAAAAAATGAATAGATATATGTACAAAATCAGAATGCTCTTCTGGCCATGTGGCGCATAACGGTATAGACTAAAGCTATTTTCAGAGAGAATTGTCCCAACACTTGATCACGATCTTCTGTTCCAAGATAAGAGCTCCAAGTTGATCTGAGATCTTAGTTGGTATATTTCTGTGTAAAATCATTAACACCATTTTTTATATTTCCAGTGTTACAGACATGAGCTTGATAACCTACTTCCCTTAGCTCATGCATCAGTTGCCTTTCATCAAAAGCCTGAACCCTTGAACAAGTCATCCCAATATCCCCTACAATCATTTGTCCAAATAAACATAATTGGCAGGTTAATTCCAACAGAGACAGACAAAGAACACATGTTCCGTTTGTTTGTATATCGAGCAGGGCCCTGAAGATCCACCCTACATATCCACGTGGGCTTCGTTAAAGTAGCCCTTCCTCCCACTCCTTTGTCCGGTGCTACATGTCATCATCTGGGCCAGATTCCTCACCATTTTCTTGGAGTATGGTCAGAGAGCTACTGGTTCCAATATCCACAATATCTCCATTTAGATATCATTCCCCGAGAGTCGGGTCTGTTTTGTAGGTGTACTGAGTATTCCTGGCTATAAGCAACAGTTATGTGTTGATCATCTTGATCAATTTTCTGAATCTAATACATTTTAACAGAAAAGTAAAAATCAGGAAGTTATTTATTTGTCTCAAACATTAAATAGTTTGACTTACATGCATGTAGATATCAGTTCTGTTTATCTCGAAAAACCCAGAGTCAACTCTGATCATAACTCACGTGCCCTTCAGATTGTTCCATCTAAATGTGCTGTTGACATAAAGAATTTCGTACTGCCAGGAAATTCTTTAAAAAATGGCCTTGTTAAAGAACTGCTTTCATTTTCTTATGATTATGCAAAGGGTTCTGTCACTTCTATTTATGACATTGTCCTTTTCAGGAAGAGAAATTAGATTATACGTAAAACAAAGACCAAAATAAAAAATTGCCTTAGAAAGTTAGAAAATAAATAAAAACAACTATACTTGTGAAAGAGCTGTTGGTAACCTGAGTGTTTGGGCATTTGCAACATCATAGATAAAATCGCAATGTAGATCTACTCACGCTGACATCTACCTAGTGAAACAATCCAAGCAAAGTTTCTACCTTTAATGATAGACATTCCTACAGTAAATAAAGCAACAAAACCCTTTCCATATCCAATAGAAATCTCTGCATAAAGCAGAGTGGAGTGTACAATTCCGACTATATCATGAGTATGTGTTTATGAATCACTATCAAATTGTAATGATACCACACACCTGTAACTATAGGAGGATATCTCAGTTTGAACTGTAATGTTTTTCTCCTCATGTGGCCTACTCACTCCCAGGTTTGAACTGTAGCGTTTTTCTCCTCATAAGGCCTACTCACTCCCAGGTTTGAACTGTAATGTTTTTCTTCTCATAAGGCCTACTCACTCCCAGGTTTGAACTGTAATGTTTTTCTCCTCACGTGGCCTACTCACTCACAGGTTTGAACTGTAATGTTTTTCTCCTCATAAGGCCTACTCACTCCCAGGTTTGAACTGTAATGTTTTTCTCCTCATAAGGCCTACTCACTCCCAGGTTTGAACTGTAATGTTTTTCTCCTCACGTGGCCTGCTCACTCCCAGGTTTGAACTGTAATGTTTTTCTCCTCATAAGGCCTACTCACTCCCAGGTTTGAACTGTAATGTTTTTCTCCTCGTGTGGCCTACTCACTCACAGGTTTGAACTGTAATGTTTTTCTCCTCACGTGGCCTACTCACTGCCAGGTTTGAACTGTAATGTTTTTCTCCTCGTGTGGCCTACTCACTCACAGGTTTGAACTGTAATGTTTTTCTCCTCGTGTGGCCTACTCACTCACAGGTTTGAACTGTAATGTTTTTCTCCTCACGTGGCCTACTCACTGCCAGGTTTGAACTGTAATGTTTTTCTCCTCGTGTGGCCTACTCACTGCCAGGTTTGAACTGTAATGTTTTTCTCCTCATAAGGCCTACTCACTCCCAGGTTTGAACTGTAATGTTTTTCTCCTCACGTGGCCTACTCACTGCCAGGTTTGAACTGTAATGTTTTTCTCCTCACGTGGCCTACTCACTGCCAGGTTTGAACTGTAATGTTTTTCTCCTCATGTTGCCTACTCACTGCCAGGTTTGAACTGTAGTGTTTTTCTCCTCATAAGGCCTACTCACTCCCAGGTTTGAACTGTAATGTTTTTCTCCTCATGTGGCCTACTCACTCACAGGTTTGAACTGTAATGTTTTTCTCCTCATGTGGCCTACTCACTGCCAGGTTTGAACTGTAATGTTTTTCTCCTCACGTGGCCTACTCACTCCCAGGTTTGAACTGTAATGTTTTTCTCCTCATGTGGCCTATTCACTCACAGGTTTGAACTGTAATGTTTTTCTCCTCATGTGGCCTACTCACTGCCAGGTTTGAACTGTAATGTTTTTCTCCTCATGTGGCCTACTCACTGCCAGGTCGTAATTGTAATGTGTTTCTCCTCATATGGCTGTTTGTTGTTTAATGCCAACCTCTCCACTATTTAACCTGAATAACAAGGTCCTGTAAACTGGGTAATAAAAAAGTGTGGCCAAGGCAAACTCATCATTAATATTTATGTCTTAGTGATGATTTGTTTTGGTATATCAACTGTGCAAGTATTAGCTGCACCTTATGATGAAGAAGCATACACAAACAAAACTTATAATAATAAAACCAAATAAGTATCATGTATCTAATTAAGCCTATTAAAACAATTCAAATCTCACAGTATTTGTGTTTAACATTGCTGATGGTCTAATTTGAAAGCAAATTTTGATTACAACCAGGTATTTTCATGGACTATTTACATATTAAGTTGCATGTATGTTAAGTGTTATCTAAATTTATGATACAAAAACATCAACAGCATATCTATTAAATAGACAAATTCAGGTCATGGTAATAACCAAACATTTGATCACAAATAGAACAGAAATAGCTTGCTAACCTTTACAGCATATCAGAAATGTCTTTCACAACAAAGGCGTATGGGAAGCATAGCTGCATGTTAAGGTAAATGTTTCTGGCACCTGCTGTGGGTTATTCTGCTATCAAAACGATATCTCGAGATGGATCACCAGTGCAGAAACGTTAAACACCTCTCCTATAAACAACATATTTCATCCTTGTGTAACTCACAAAGCATACCGGTAAATATCAAAAAGGTTTCATGTTGAAACTTTAAGTGTTAAAATATAATAGAATTATTTCTCACTAAGTTTGCATGTTTCTTCTTATTTCCCATATTAAAAGGGAGCTATAGTAACAGCTGGTTGTACCAGTCTGTCTGTGAGTGTGAGTGTGAGTGTGAGTGAGTGTGAGTGTGAGTGTGAGTGAGTGTGAGTGTGAGTGTGAGTGAGTGAGTGTGAGTGTGAGTGAGTGTGAGTGAGTGTGAGAGTGAGTGTGAGTGAGTGTGAGTGAGTGTGAGTGTGAGTGAGTGTGAGTGAGTGTGAGTGTGAGTGAGTGTGAGTGAGTGAGTGTGAGTGTGAGTGAGTGTGAGTGAGTGTGAGTGAGTGAGTGTGAGTGAGTGTGAGTGAGTGTGAGTGTGAGAGTGAGTGAGTGTGAGTGTGAGTGAGTGTGAGTGAGTGAGTGAGTGTGAGTGTGAGTGAGTGTGAGTGTGAGTGAGTGTGAGTGTGAGTGAGTGTGAGTGAGTGTGAGTGTGAGTGAGTGTGAGTGAGTGTGAATGTGAGTGTGAGTGAGTGTGAGTGAGAGTGAGAGTGAGTGTGAGAGTGAGTGTGAGTGTGAGTGAGTGTGTGTGAGTGTGAGTGAGTGTGAGTGAGTGAGTGTGAGTGAGTGTGAGTGAGTGAGAGTGAGAGTGAGAGTGTGAGTGTGAGTGAGTGTGAGTGAGTGTGAGTGAGTGTGAGTGAGTGTGAGTGTGAGTGAGTGTGAGTGAGTGTGAGTGTGAGTGAGTGAGAGTGAGAGTGTGAGTGTGAGTGAGTGTGAGTGAGTGTGAGTGAGTGTGAGTGTGAGTGAGTGTGAATGTGAGTGTGAGTGAGTGTGTGTGAGTGAGTGAGTGTGAATGTGAGTGAGTGTGAGTGTGAATGTGAGTGAGTGTGAGTGTGAATGTGAGTGTGTGTGTGAGTGAGTGTGAGTGTGTGTGAGTGAGTGTGAATGTGAGTGTGAGTGAGTGTGAGTGAGTGTGAGTGAGTGTGAATGTGAGTGAGTGTG